AACTTGTATCTACATGTTCCCTCAAAGCTTTACATACTCATAGATTGGGCTTTTGTAACGTGGCTGGATCTAGGATGTATGACAACTAAACTAGTGTAGCATAGTTCTGTGTGTGGATAATGGGAAGCCCCACCCTAGGTGTGGGTGGCACCACCCAAGGCTTATAGCCTGGATCAGATAAAAGAGAAAGGGAGTGTGCTTTGCTTCCCTGCCTCCTGCCTGCTCTGCTGCAGACTATTCCTCCTCTGTAGTGCTCCTTTACTGTACCACCCTGCCTTGGACCCAGCCAACGATGGACTGAAACCTACAAACTGTGAGCCAAAATAAACCTTCCCTCTTTCAACTTGTGGGTGTTTTGTTCCAGAAATGAGAAAAGTAACTATGACACATAGTGAGTGCAAACTAATTAGCAGTAAGGAAAACATTAAAATTCCAGCAAAAAGATGAAAACTTAAAGTTATAATTTTTCCAAAAGGATCCAATGAACATTTAAAATATTTAAACCAATAATTCTGCCTTCACTTTCCTTCCTTTGTTTATTTATCTATTTATTGGTTTTTGTTTTTTGTCTTTTTCCGGTACTGGAGATTGAACTCAGGACCTTGCACTTGCCAGACAAGCGCTTATTCTACTGAGCTATCTCTCCTGTCCCTTTTATTTATTGTTTGCTTGTTTGTTTTCTTCCCCTAGAAAACTTACAGGTTTGTTTTATTTTTTAATACTAAAACTCAACACTAGTTGATATAACAATTCTAAAAGCACTTTGGCATTAGTATCAAGAGGTTGCTATTGGCCTAATAGTTCTACTTCTAGGATTTCAGTTTATAAAAATGCAATAGGGGATGATGGCCAGAAGGCATTTAGCAGCCCTATTTCTAATAATGTGGAAAAGGAAACACTGAAAATGACCAACAATAAGAAAATGACTCTGTAGAAAATGGCAGATTACTCCATTATTTCAAATAACACATGAGGAGCTTTAATGACTTGACCCAACACTCAAAACATGGTAAGTAAAAAATATCAGCTGCAGTAAGAGCGCAACAAATACCCAGTACCCACTACCACAGATGATTTTAGGGTGGCAGAATTAGGAATCATAGAATTTTATTTTGTAAAGATTATCTACTCCTAAAATAAAAAAAAAATTTAAAAAAAGATTACTCCTTAAAATTTATTTGAGCACACACTGATTATGAAGCCTAAGGGGAAAATGTTTAAAAGAAGTGCAATTTTAAAGAATTCTCATGCCATTAAAATAATCATTTTGAGGGGGCTGGAGAGATGGCTCAGTGGTCTAAAGCACCTACTTGGAACAAGCTTGGCAAAGCACAGGGACTGCGGTTCAATCCTCCAGTACCACATGCCAGCCAGCCCCGCCCACTGGTGGGCTGAGCTGGCCACACACACACACACACACACACACACACACAATAAATGTAAAATAAATAAATAAAATAAATTTTTAAAAAAATTTTTTTTAAATAACAATCATTTTGAGGGCTGGGGAGATAGTTCAGTACTTCCAAGCGCCTACCTGGCAAGCCCAAGGACCCAGGTTCTAGCCCCAGTACAACATGCCATGGTGGCCCCAGAACACCAGGCATGCTGTGCTAGCCACTGAAACCGGGTGTGGTGGCACCTGCCTGTAATCCCAGCTCTGGGGAGGCTGAAACAAGAGGATCACTATGAGTTCAAGCTGTGTATCAAGATCCTGTGCCAAATAAATAAAAGATTTTTTAAAACTTAAAATAATAATTTTAAGAATATACAAAACATTTTCCAGTATGATAAAGAAAAGGCAGAGTTTAAAAAAATGTCCCTTTCCAATATCACAATTATGTGAAATTATGTAATTTGTGACACTTGTGAAGGATACAAGTGAAAATGGGGATATGAAAAAAAATTAAAATGACTTATTTTGGAGCCATCAATGAAAATATAAATATTATAATTCAGTGCCCAAGTTACACATGATGTTTTAACTACTTGGCTACTGTGTTAGTGGCAAATTTCAAGCCCAGCATTCCAGTCCTGAGAGCAAAAGAGCAATTCTCATCACTCTAAAGCAGACATTCATTGGCGTCACATTCAAAAACTTTCACACCTTCTCTGCTTAACTTAAGTGACATGATAAACCACTATTGTTTCATTATGAATTACAGAACTGACTGGGAAAATGCCAGCATAGTTTAAAGCTATTTTAGAATTTTTTTTTTCAAGCCATCAGGTTCCACCCTTCTGAAAGCAAATTATAAATTCTTGCAACTTGATCCACTACAAACCTTGTACTAAGAATATTTTCCAGACTGGTTTTCTATGCTCGAAAAATTTGAGAGGAAATAAAATCAATTCCTCAGAAATACTTCCTTTGAGCAAAACATCTGCCAGCTTAGGCAATGGCAAAATACACAAAAACCTAACTAACTGCAAAACCACAAATCACACTTCTGACACCCTATGCAGTGTACAAGCTTGACATCCAGGAGTCTCAAAACAAAATTTGATCAAAGTACTGACAAGCTGAATAAGACCTAAAACATAAACCACGACATCCCACTCACTGGTGCCTTTTGTTGTTGTTCATTGTGAGTTGGCCAATGTGTACTCTCAGCACTCAGCCCCAGCAGAGTGTAGAAGTTGGCCCACACTCAGTCCTTGTCAACCCAAACCAAAATAACCACTTCTGAAGGGTTTTAAACAAACATTCACACCACATATTCAGGCTACAGACAGCAGCAATGTCAGTAACTATATTTTTTTCCTCCCTTCCTCACTACCAAAACAAAGAGCCCTTGTCTTATACATGGCTCTTGCTTTTGCAAGCAGGAGCAGTAAAGAAAGGAGTGCTTGCTTCCAAGATTGGTGGAGCATGCAGGCCTGACAAGGTGTCACAGGATGCCATTTTGAAAAGCAAAAGAAACAAGCAGAAGATTAGCAACATGGACAATGTAACCAGCTACTGAAGGGCCTATCATCACCAATGGGAACACATGGATCTTCCAAAGGGCATGGCCTTCTCTGGTACCTGCAATTATAGCCATGAGTTGTCAGTACCATTTTGAGAGACATTTTAAAAATCAAATCAGTAATCTAGACTTTTAAATAAGCCTCCATTTCCTGAAGAACCTTCCTGGGAGCAAGGTCAGTGCTAAATTCATTAACTATTGGTGTTTTAATTTTTTTTTTTTTTTTTGGCAGAACCGGGGATTGAACTTAGGCCCTTGCGCTTGCCAGGGAAGCACTTATTCCACTGAGCCATCTCCCTGGCCCTAACTATTGGTGTTTTAAGCTAGCGATAATCTCTACATCTCATCACAATAACAGGAGTTGATCAGCCATCCACAGCTAGATAGAATCAGACCCTGAAAACAGGTCATGAACTCCAAGTCTTCAGACTTCCATACTGCTGCACTAGTCTGAAGTTCTACAGGGAGGAAGGTAAGGAGTGAAGTAGGGAGAGAGGGAGAAGACAGGGAGGGAGGGGAGAAGAGGAAAGGAGGGAGGGGGAACGGTGGCTAGGACATTATTTAGTAGTGCCCTATTACTGGCATCACTCTGCAGCTCAGTACTGTATACTGGAACAACTTAAACTGGATGTCACTGAAATAATGAGAATTAACACCATTCTCAAATTCAATCAAAACCCTCTGGTAGAAAGGTGCGTTTGGTTTGGTTTTTGTTTGTGGTTTTTTTTGAACTGGGGATTGAACTCAGGTCTATTTTTTTTTTTTTTGCTGCTATTTATTAATTTATTATTAGTAGCAGCTGCAGTAATAGCCATCATGATGTCTAGCCACCATAAGTCCTCCATATTATCTATCCAGAAGTTCAATCAATCACACTTTCCTGGCAGAGAGGATTTCCAATCCCCACTCGCTTTCATGTTATACTTAAGAGATAAGGGCCCAAAGACAAGGATGACGGCCAGCGTCTAAGAGGAGAGGGCAAAAGAGAAGTTTTCCTCTGAGGTGCTCTCTCAGAGGAAAGCAACCGCAGCTACCCAAAGCTCTCCAAGTTAGCGACTTCCGGGCTTACAGCGCTGAAAAATGATGGAATCGGGGAAGGAAATTCAAGAAGACCTCTGGACCCCGTTGGAACACTCGGTCGGTCTGCAACGACGACCACCATTTCTGAGCTCTCTGAGCATTACTGAGCTCCGACGTCTGTCCCATCAAAAAGCTAGTGGGGCTGGGGTGGGGGGAGGGTGCCAGGGAAGGCACCGCTGGACAGCTCCCGCGGTCAGAAAGTTCCTCCTCCCGCCGGCCTCTGCCTCTACTACCCGCGCCCAGTCAGGCCTCGAGCGCCCCCTGGACGGCCGCTCCCGCCTCACTAGGGCCCTTCACACACGCACAGACAGCTGGCACTCGCGCTCCGGTCATCTAGCCTTGCTTTCCCCGGGGCAGCTGACATCCATTGCACGGGGTCTCTTCTTCCTGCCCAGCTCTCCCCTAATTTTCTCTTGTCAGTGGAAGAAAGCTCACACACTTGCCCACACGTGGATTTGGAAGGATTTGAGCCGAGGGCTTCTGAGAGCCCAGAGCGGGAACTTCGGGTCGCAGCCGGGCCGCAGTCAACTGGGGGTGCCCTTGCCCTCTACCCGGGAAGCCCCGAACCCCGGCATCCGTGGCGGTCCTGGCCCCTGGGCGCGCCCCCAAGCCTGGCCTCCATTACCTGACGCTTGTTCATCTTCCTCAGATCCCCGAATATGTCCAGGCAGGACACAGGGAGATGCGTCCCCACAGCGCCCGCGCGCACCATGTCGGCGTCTCTGGGGGCCCGGGCAGCCCGCTGGTTCCAGATGTCACACACAGCTGCGGAGCTCCGGCCGACCCCGCCCACCAGCTCGCGTCCCCGCGAGCCACATGACCCGAAGCTCGCTTGGGCGTCTGGGAATCGTAGTCCCGCGAGTCTTGGCCACCAGTCGGCCCGTGAAATCCGAGAGGAGGAAAAACTACTTCTCCCACAATGCCGCGGAGTGAGCTCCTCGACCAGTGAAGACCCAGGGCTCCGCGGCAGGACCGCGAAGGGGCTTGAGATCCTAGTCCGACCCTTTGGAGGGCATGTGGGGCAGTGAGTGGTCCCGCACGTCTTCCGGACAACTCGGAAAGGTGACTTCTTAAGAAAAACAGAATTTCTAAGACTCTGCTCAGGCGCCAAAAGGACACCTAAAACTCCCTTGCAGTCACCCAACCGTGTATCTTGGCCATTGGATGGCTCAGACCAGGAAAGGCGGGCTTTTACCCTGAGGGCGGACTGTGCAAATGGGGACGGGGCCTAGAATGGGGCGGGGCTAGGGGAGGCGGGAATTTTAAAGCGGTCGGGTTCCAGCTCTGCGAGCGTTGTAGGATTTGAATGCGAGGCGGTATCTCTGAATGTCCTTGACGTAGATGTGGCAAAACTAATTTTACTTGAGTGATTTATCTTTTATTTATTCACAGACCATTACAAAATACCTACAATACACCTGATTCTGTTCTAGGCACTGAGAAATATCCGTGAAAAAATTATACCAGAAGCAGGAATAATGAGTACATTTTATGGTACCTAAGAGGTGATAATACTAGGAAAAAGAAGAAAAAGAGAGGAGCTGCATGAGAAGCTCTGGCAAAAACATGTTGTAATTTAAAATGTGCCAGAGGGGGCCTGCCCCTTAGCTCAGTTCTTGTTGGGCCAGGGAGATGGCTCAGTAAAAGAAGTGCTTGCCTGGTAAACGCAAGGACCTGAGTTCAGTACCCGGTTCTGCCAAAAAAAAAGTGCCAGAAACCAACTTGCGATGAAGCTAACAAAAGGGGAGTTTTGGGGGGGGGGGGTTGTATTTTTTAGGGAAGGGTCTACAGGGTGTTCAGGATCTCACTGCTAGATCGGATTCATAGTGATCCACCTGTTTACAGCCTCACAAGAGCTGGGATTACAGGCGTACCACCACGCCCAGTCTCAATTGCCATCTCAGTGTGCCCCAGGGATGCGGCCTGCACAGCAGGCCCAGACATCGAACCCCCAGCCTCTGACCTGCTTGCAGACACTTTAATCCGCTGAGCTGTTTGGTGAGGTTTTGAACCCTACTGTTGCAAAGGCTCTTTCCAAGGCCTGGAATAGCGCTTCCCTAAAGTTTTGTAAAATTCTCCAAAGCAAGATAGTAAGTCGCTGACTTACAAACAAGTTCTGTTCCTGGAAAACGTTCTTAAATGGAATTCTTTCTTAAGTCCAACAAAGTGATTCAGACAATATTTGAATTGTTGACCAAGAGTTCAGTTTCTTTGCATTCCAATTTCCTCTGTATCACACTTCTCTGGTTCTTAGGGGGACAAAGAGCATTTTGGGGATTCAGCTAAAGGGAAGTGGAACTGCAGTTATATTTCATTTGGATTGAGTGGATACATTTATGTGGCTCATGGTCATTTCCTGCCATCCCAGTAGAGGAATAATGTCTTTTAGGAATATTGTCACCTAAACTCATACAAGAAGTTGCACTAGTAGTAGAATCTAATCTGAGGGTTCCTACAGTACCCAGCCTCAGAAGTATGTGGATAGGGGAGAAAGAGTTTAAAATGTACAGATCTAGAAACTAGTCTGTGTTCCCTGGGCAAGGTGGGAACAGAGATGGAACATTAGTACCCACCCCACCCTGGCACATGAAAGACTGTGTACGGAGACAGAACATTAGTACCCACCCCACCCTGGTACATGGAAGACTGCTTTTCCCACAACCTTCTCTCACTGTTTTGGAATTTGAAGACAACATACACCACTTTGAGTGTGCTACTTTAACCCATTTGCAAGTAATCCATGAGGCTGCAAGTTTTAAGAGGTGACCATAACAAGAAAAGGTTCTGCAGCAAATCCAGCTCCTGTGAAAACTCCACACATTTAGGTCTCAGGACGCCATGGGTGTGGTAGTAACTCAGTGTTGCTGATGAGTATAAAAGTTGTAGGAAAACTCTGGCAAGCAATAAATGAGAAACAGCAAATTTTGAGGATTTTGGAGGAAATTCATGCCCTTTGTCATAGATGACAAGATTCTTTTTGAGAAACAGCTGTTTTGCCATTGGTCCTTAGAAGAGCCTGAAGGCCCAAAGATGGGAGCTCAGATGACCATGTAACCCACACTTCCTACCAGAGCCTGTTTTATGACCTTTCTAGTCATTAGGATGGATGGAAGCAGGAATTTGTTACTATGTGGAAATGGCATATAAGATGTGTGTGTGTGTGTGTGTGTGTGCGCGCGCGCGCGCGCTGCTCAGACAGAACCAAAAAGAATGAGTAACCTCAATAAGCAGGTGGCTCAGACTCCTTCAACTCTATTGCATTCTTTCCTTCTTCCTTCAATCCAAATCTTTACTCTCCTTCTTTGGATTACCTCATGTGCAGTTGAAAGTTGTCGATGTACAACCTCTAAATCTACCCTTTTTTTTTTTCGGCGGAACCTGGGATTGAACTCAGGCCCTTGCACTTGCCAGGGGTGCACTTATTCCACTGAGCCATCTCCCCAGCCCCTAAATCTACCCTTCTTAGCCCTCTTTAAGCTGAACTTTGTAGACATTTCTTCTTTGCCAGCTGGCACATTGTTAAGCTTTGTCTGTGGTGGGAGCTTGAGGGACATTAGAGAAAGGAAGGACTTTTGTTGATGTCTAGTTTGGGGTTTTATAAGGGGAACCATACAGTACAGGACACATATTTCATAAAATTGTTTATAATAGTCACTCAAAGAATCATGTACAAAGAGAATGCAGGAAATCTGCCCACACAGTAAAGGCCAATGAATCCAGCTGAGGGCCTGGGTCCCATAGCAATGTTCTGCATGAGTCCAGCTGAAGACCTAGAGCCCATAATAGTGCTTCCCACAAGTCCAACTGGAAGCCTGCAGCCCACAGCAATGTCTCATGCAGGCCTGTTTTACAGATCTATACTGGGACGGTCTAAAGGTCAGTGGTGGAAGCTAGAAAGTCTGTGCTAGTGGGATAAAGGATCTGTGCCAACAGGCTGAGGGATCTGCCCTTGAGCCAAGAAGCAACACTCAAGATACAAGAGCTCCCCTAAAATGTACCACAGCCATCAACAACAGTGAGGTCCTGAGCTTCTCTAACAGTGAGGGAAGCTGAGTTCATATCAGAAAAGCTGGTCTCCAGGAGACTGAGCAGTGCGCCATCTTCACCTCTAGAGCCGGGAAGAGATGCTCAAAGAGAGGACCAGAACTCCCCCAAAGTGAACTGTCACAATTCTCAGCAACAGCGAGGTCCCAAGCTCCTTCGACAGTGAGAATAGCTGAATTCATCAGGAAAGCGAGCTTGACAAGTTCCTATAACATAATAGCCCAAAAGAACCAGCAGCAGCTTCCAACAGCTCCAACAGCTCCTCTAGTTCTGCCCCTTTGTGCTGATGACAACAATCCTCAGGTGGGCCTCCCACACCCAACACCACACTGGGTGTAACAAATTGACCACCAGTTGTCAATGCACACTTGGGTTCCTTGTGCTTTCTTTCCCCTTCAGACCTATTTCACGTAGATGTCAGCGGCTTGTAGGATGACCAGCACGTTGCAGTAGCGTCCCAGAGACTGGCTGCTATTAAGTTTTGTTAACAACACAGATGGCTTCTCTGTGGCCCTTCTGTGGGCAGTTTCCTTTTGCCATCCCAGACAGTTACACCTCAGAAAACTTCTTTACTATCCTGTGGGCAACAGCCACACCCTCTAAATCTTCCTTTTTTTTTTTTTTTTTTTTCCTGCAGTACCAGGGATGGAATTCAGGACCTTGCGCTTGCCATGCAAGCACTTATTCCACTGAGCTTTCTCCCTGGCCCAACACACCCTATAAATCTAAATCTCAGCTATCAGGAAGCAATGCCTCTCCCAAAGTTTGCTCTTCCCTTGGGTCTTCTGTCTCAGTTGTGTTAATAGTTTCTATTCTCTGTATCTGCTGTTTCTGTATTCTTTGGTTCTTACATCCTTTCGTAGTTAATCCATAATATATGGGTTAATTTATAGATTAATTTATGCCAGATTTTTTAATTTTTACCTTTTGAAATTACTGTTGAGATATGTCCTTTGACTGAACCCTAACTAGTATGAATATTCAAGAGGGAAGCTTTTCCAATCACCAAACACTCTCTGGCTCAATAAGGTTTATTGTTACTGCTACTGTTTTAATTACAGAGGTAACATATAAGCAGTCCCTCTGAAAGCCTAGATTACACACAAATGAACTCCCCCTTCATCCCACTCAACTCTCAGTGCACTCCCATTCACTCCCTATTTGGGAACTTGGTGTGTGTCTGCATTCCTAGCCTTTCCCCACAAATTAATTTGTTTCAGGGCTTTTTGTTTGTTTTGAAACAATGTTTCAATGGTGTGTGTGTGTGACTGTGTGTGTTGGTGGTTCTGTATGATTAGATTCCTAGAAATTGATTTAATAAGCCAAATAGCATGAACATTTAAAATTTAGATGTTCCTCCAGATATGCTAAATGAATTTCTAATCCTACAGAGAAGAGATTTGATATCATGAGATGTCGAAATTAGAAGGAACTATAAATATCACATGGTTAGAACTTTTTGATCTTGGTGGTAAACCTAAGGTTCTGGGAGAGAATTGACTTTGATGTCATCTAGCCAAATCCATGTTACACAGTCAGCCAAGGAAACCTTAAATTGTTGGACTAGGCTTGAAAGAACTACATTTAGAATCATGGTTAGATACTTGAGTCCTATCAATTGAACAGAGTGGAGAACAGAGGCAGTTCTTTGCCTGGCACTTCCAGTAGTGCTGCACTTCAAATACAATCTGTGTTTCAGCTATGGTGATTTTATAGCCTCAGTCACCCAGCTATTGGCCAACTGTTCTAGTTAAGATTGTCAAAA